CTAAAAGCTTGCTGTTCTAAAGAATGTACTCTCGGTGTGAAATTCAAGTTGATCAATTGTAAAAGCTGTGTCAGATCCTTCCATGTAGAATGTCGAGAAGTCATCAAAATCGATGGAGTACTCGTTTCAAACGACCTGTGCAATAAATGTCTTTGCAAATATGATGTTCCACTCAATGTTCCAGTCCTCGCGTTGTGGGAAAACAAAGAGTGAGTTAAGTTCAGTAAACACATAATTTTATCTCTTAATTCTTACAGTTTCTATCTTGCAAAAACCGTCAATCGGTGGAGTCTCGATGATGGCTTAAACGAGGAAGACGACGCTTGCGCTTTTCAAAACTGCCGCGCGAAAACGACACTCCGCAATAACGGTGAACGACGGGAGCGCGTTGTTTAGCAGCAACGACGACAGCGGCGGAATTTCACAAGCGAACTCAGCAATTTGTTTCGGCGAAGCGCACGAAAGTGAAGGGTTTTGATGGAACGTGCGAGGAATACTGTTTCGCCAAAGACTGTCGCTGCGATACCATCTGACTTCGCTAAACAAGGCGCAATGTGAAATCTCGGAGCCTCGTTTGCCAACAAATTTAAGAAAGCATAATTTCATTTCAATTGATGAATATGTTTTTAAGTTTCAATGTTCGCCGCAAGTAATGTGTCAGAGAGAAATTTGAGAAGAAGCTGGAATATTCAAAATTATCGGAAAAACTGCAATAATCCTCATTTATTGATGCTGAGAATTGCGACTTGAAGGCGTTTGGGTTTGGTTTCAGGTGAAATTTTACTGAAGATTTTTTGCAGCCTTTTCGAGAGAGAAAATGGAGAAAATCCGATAAAATTTTGGAATTTTCGAGATTTTTTCTTTTTTTTTTTGAAAGAACGATTCTGGGAAGTTACAATTTTTAATGGATGGGACGATTATATTCTAAAGATTTGAAATTTGTAAAATTCGGCATATATTGAACCAAGAAGAAACAAGACGAACAGTGAGTGAATATAGAAATTACAAAGCCGTCCAAGATAACTCTGTATGAAGAAAAATTCCGAAATCGTTGGAAATCTACTAAAGGCACGATTTTCAAATTTTTTTTGTCTTGATATGAAAAATCCATAATTGTGTCAATGGTAATTTGTAAAATGTTTTTGTTTTGAAAAAATATAACAAATCTCAAAAGTTGTATGATTAATTTAGGTTTCAAAACATTGTCTTTCATGACTACCAATTTTTTTTCAATCGCTTTTTCTCTCAATTTTACCTCATTTCCTCTCTTTTCCCTTTTTCCTCGATTTTCTGTTTTTTTCTCAATTTTCCAAGTTTTCTCAATTTTCATGGAATTGATTTTTTTCATGCTTTTCTAGTTCATTGAATGAAGGAAACAATCACAATTTAGAAATTTTTCCACAAAAATTCAAAAATCCCAAAAATTGGCCCAAAATAAGTTACTTTCTCTCGAAAATTGTACGCTGGCGAAAATCGACGGCTGCGAGACCCCGCAAATTCCGGGGAAAGAAAAAATCGGGGAAAAAAACCGGGGAAAGTGGGCGGAATCGAGAAAAACCGTGCGGCAAAACCGTGCCAGGGTTGCAATTTAAGCTCCGCCCCCCATGACCGTGTCCAAATGTGCAGAAAAACCGTGCGGCAAAACCGTGCCAGGGTTGCATTTCAGGCTCCGCCCCCGACTCCGCCCACTTTCCCCGGTTTTTTCCCCGATTTTTTCCTCGGAATTTGCGGGGTCTCG